TTTTTTTTTTTTTTTTTCTCAATTATTTTGCATATGAATAATTATGTGAAGTATAAAATCGCGAGGAATGGAGGGGAGGTGGTGAGGATGGATGTTCTGGTGGGAGACGAAACGAGGTCGTATTTTCCGGTGACCATCTGGCAGAAGCAAATGGGAGCCCAAGTTTCAGCTGGCCATGTTTATCTGCTCCAAAGTAAGCGTTTTTGGCCGTTGGATATAAGATTTTCTCGAGGGAATTAACTGTGTTTTTTGTTGGAAAATATATAATATTAGTTACGATTTAGTTTTTAATTGTGTTGGATTGTAGAGAAAAAAATTATCAGTTTCAATGATATACATCTTGGCTGGACAAACAAAAGTAATTATTTTGTGTAATCGATGAATGAATTCAAGCATAAACAGTATACAGATCTCAAAATGACAAGATTTGGTGATACTGTCGAGGCTCGAGCTATACATTGTTCGTCTCTCCAGTGTTTGCTTCGGCCAAATGATTTTACTGCACCAAATGGTACTCTCTGTCTCTCACTCACTCACTCTTTAGTATGTTTGTGTGGATTATATGTGATCTTATTATATTATTATTATTCTTCTAATTACTATTTCATTATCTTATTTAGGTTTAGATAAGGTGATTGAACAGTTTCGTGTAGGGATAACAACGAAGGACAAGCTTCAGAGAGTTGTTGGATGGATGCAACGAGCCAAACTTGCTCATTGTGGAAGCGCATTAAACTGTTTTGAAGTAAGTTCTTCACATAGTAAAACTTTTTTTTTTTAAATTCTTTATCACTTGATATATATAAAATGTCTCAAATGTTAATGTATTTTTCCTACATGATACAATATTATTCTGTAGTTCTGACATCAGTGAAATTTGTTAATTTGCTAAATCATCATGCCCACATTTGCCTTAGAAGTGTAGACATTTATTTATTTGCCCCCAGAAATTAAATAGTCGCTTTGTGGTTGTATTATGTCATAGATTTTCTTGTGGAATTTCTGGATTTGTTACGAAAATGTTATAATTTACGATGACTGATAGCAGTTTTAGACATTACGTGCTATACATTGAACACTACACGCTTTTGGAGAAAAACACAGTAGAACAAAATTATGATTCTTTGTGTGAAGATAGATGTTGTTTTTTTTGGGAATTATATCAATATATGGAAATCTCAGCACAGGGGTCAGCTAAAAATCAATTGGAAAGTGCATGAAGATACGAATTCCCAAGATTGCACCTCTCTATCAGAACTATGCGAGTGCAGTGAAAATTGTAAGGCTACTTTTCATGCTTCTGTTGGTGAAATATTTTTACCCATCAGTTGGGTCGAACTTGGAGAGAACGAAGCCGAGAGGATGTTCATTAGTCGGAGGCTATATAATGGACACGATCAAAGCTTCGTTGACGATCTTATTACTACTGGCTGTCAATTGTGTGGTACCCCAGTAAACGCTAGACCTGGGTATGAACAAGAATTGATTTTTTTTTTTTATTTTTTTTTTCTCTTTTGATTTTGTATTTGAGTATTATAATTCAGATTTACTTACAAAAGGTGCCCCTGAGGTTTAACATAATTACAGTGAGACCTAATGATCTTTCAAAATAACAAGTTCCCACCCTCACATTTGTTTTATCCGAAATTTCTTTGTTTTTGTCTGTAACTCGACTGAATCACAGGGCGTACCTTCTGTAATTATCGATAAAACTTTTTCAACAAGAAGCTGGATTTTGACAGGTCAAGTGTGGAGCAAAACACAAGTCATTTGTACTGTCCAAAAAGCTCTAATCATTTCCATACAGTGGGCACCATATACAGACCTTTCCTGGTAAAAGAAGCTTCTTTTTTTTTTTTTCTTATCATACAATCTATATCTATATCTCTATCTATATATAATAGACCAATCTTTGTTATTACAATTGGCATTGTATTCAGCGGGGAAATATTTTCATTTTTCATCTATATTTAGCATATAATCAACCTTTATCCATCAACAAATTTTATATATAAACATCAATTATATTTTGTTTATTCAAAGCTAATATCCAGTAGTTATAAATTGGCTTGAATAGAATATTGATGGATTATATATATTTTCAATTTGATCATACATGAATTTTGTAGTAATTCGTTGACACAATTAAAATTTTTTTTTATTATAATTATGAAAATTGAGTTTATTAAGTACATTATCATCTCGTCATTGATAGATATTTTTGTAATTAGGTTCACCTCAGAAGCACTTAAAATATGAGTAAATATGCACACCACTTATGTGGCATGCACACATTGGTGATGTATTATATTGAAGATATTAACATCACCAATGTGTGCATGCCACATAAGCGGTGGACATATTAACATGTGTTTACCGTGGGTAGGGGAACATTATTGCTTAAAATATAGGACAAATAACCAGAATATTTGTATTTGAATCATGTTAACTTAATGGATAAATTACATTATTAATAAAATTTGCTAAAATGTAGTCAACGTAACCATTAAAAAAAAAAAAACATCTCCATGGAATATATCATTTGTATTTGTATTGGGACTACTATTGAAAAATTAATTTCCATATACTCATAAAATTATTATTTGATGGTGAGGTGAATTTAAAAATTACAAGTTTCACATTAGAAATATCTATATACATCAAAAAACGATTCAAGTTGTAAAAAAATATAATTTTTATTATATACTATGCAATAAAGAAAAATGAGTAAACAAGATAATAGTCAAATATCATAATAAAAATTATAGCATTTGTAATAATTGAAATACATAATTTATCTAAATATTTCAATTGGATATTATTACACTCATTATATGATGAATATGAACTAAAGAAATAAATGTAGACAAAAAAATTAAAAATAATAGTTTACTATGAAGAAATTTCATTGTACGAGTGATTAAAGTTACTATAATTTAAATATAATTATAAAAAATTTAATTTTTCATGCTAAAATTGTAATAAAGGAAAATTAGTTTTATGGGTTAAAATTTAGTTAGTTATAGAGTAATATGCAAAATATGAAATATTAAAAAAAAGTTATAAAATCAAGAAAATCCGTAATTTTATAAGTACATGTAAGTAACTTATATACCAACACCATATTTAAAATCTTATATATTCATAATATATTTTATAAATTTTAAATGGTAAAAATGTATATATTAAATAGTTAATACACACAAAAATAAATTAAATAAATGAAAATATTCAATAAACTTAATATTACTACGGACCTTATATATTGTGTCAGATAGAATTAGCATATTATGTTAAATAATTTTATAATATTTGAATAAAAAAATATTAATTTATAATATACCCTGTGCATCGCACGGTATCAACACTAGTTCTATGAAGAGGTTTTCTAAATAACCCTGCTCTAAATATGATTTTAATTGGTATTTTCAATTACTTGCTTTTTATATCTGCAGTTATATGTATGGGACGACGTGAAGTATCTCCCGATTTCTGTCAGGAACAAGGCGGCTGAAATTCTGTTCGGAAACATCTCAGCTGAAAAAGTTCATTCGTCTTATAAAGACCAACGGGCTGGAAAAGACGGTTTTAATCCTCACTCATCGAGCGCTGGGCAAATATTTCAGATGAAGGACAAAATTGCTGAGGGTGTTGAAAAACCGAATTTCTACATGATTTGGTTGATTTTGTTGAGAATGTTGTTTCAGCATGAAAAGAACAGCCCGTTAAGATTTAAAGTAAGAGTCGAAACGAATAGAGATTGGGAAAACGGGAGGCTTGAAATGCTATCGGTTTCGATTCCAGCTTTTAAAAGAAATCGAGCAGCCTCGAGTAGAGCTGCTGTATTGTCTTGAAAACTTCAGTAGGATAGTTTGTTAGAGTTGAAGCTGATGAGAAGACGATGGTGAATGAACACAAACAAGTTGGAAGTAATGAAATCAAAATTCTTGTTCTGATTTTCTTGTATTTTTTTAGATTTTTCTGAAATAAATTAGAGCTTCAAATTCGATATCTGGAAGTTTAGGGGTGCTCAATTATATTGCATAATAATTTACCTGTTGCTTAATTATTTCAGATAATTAAATAAATAATTAAAAGTACTTCATTGATTTCACAAACATTAACATCCAAAATTCTGGAATTTCATATTACATACAAATCAAATAAATATATTGATTTTGAATAGCTAGACTCTGCGAAGTTAACCAAAGTGTAAACAGAGATTTTTACTGTAAAGTAAACAGATGGAAAAGCGTCAATTCGGTTCGAAAACTTCCTACAGATAAATTCGCTAAGCTTCATTTTTAATCCAAAACCTTCCTGCAGATAAATTTGCTAACTCTGGTAGATACTATCAACCATGGTATAATTCCTACCTGCAAAGGCATAAGACGAACGGTCACAAAACCTCATTAGAAAAAAAAATCAAAAATCGCGAATAGCCTACAAGAAAAAGGTTTTTTGTTCAACTTCCGGTTCAAGGTAAATCACATTCATCATTGATATGAAAAAAAAAA